TGATCAAGTCGGGTCTGAATCCAATCGTCTTTACTCAAACCAGCATCGTTCATGATTCTCAAGGAGGGAATCTGAACCTCGATAGGTAAAACAGCCTCCATGCCATATACTAAGGAATAGGGTGTTGCCCCAGTTGATGTGCGAGCCGTGGTACAGTACCCGTGGAGAGCAAACAGTAGCATCTCATGCCAGTCCTTGTAGGTGACTGTCATCTTCTGTATGATCTTTTTGATGTTTTTGTTTGCAGCTTCGACAACACCATTCATCTTTGGCCGATATGGGGATGAATTGTGATGTTGAATCCTGAACTGCTCGCACAAGGTGGTGATCATAGTATTGTTAAGGTTTGTACCGTTATCAGTGATGATCCTTTCTGGGATACCGTACTGGCAAATGAGATTCTGCTTGATGAAGCGGGCAACAACATTCTTAGTAACGGATGCGAAGGAAGCTGCTTCGACCCACTTGGTGAAATAGTCAATGGCCACCAGAATGAAGCGGTGTCCATTGGATGTTGTAGGCTTGATCTCTCCAATCATGTCGATTCCCCACATAGCGAAGGTCTAAGGAGTTGTTAAGACATTTAGAGGAACAGGAGGCACGTGCACCTTGTCTGCATAGATTTGACATTTATGGCATGTTCGGGAATATTGATAGCAGTCAACTTCCATGGTAGACCAGTAATAGCCTGCCTGTAGAATCTTCTTAGCCATCGTATACCCGCTAGAGTGAGTGCCGAAGGTACCTTCATGCAATTCAGCCATGATCTTTTCAGCTTCAGCTTTGTCCACACAACGGAGCAGAATAGAATCATGATTGCGCTTGTACAGGATGCCATTACTTAAGAAGAACTTTTCCGAGAATCTCCTTAAGAACTTTTTGTCATTGACTAAAGCTTCTTCAGGGTATTCCTGAGCCTCGAGATACCTTTTGACTTCATGAAACCATGGTTGGTCCACTACTTCTTCGGTATTAATCTCGTGACAATGTGCAGGTTCGTCCATCCGTTCAATGGTTATTTAGGGAGCCTCATTATCCCAGTTAAGTTTAAACATGGACGACATTGTAGCTAGAGTATCAGCTAGCTGATTTTCTTCTCACGGGAAGTGCTTGAAGGTAATCTGCTCGAAATGTGGTAACAATGTCAAGACATGTTCTTTGTAAGGGATGAGGTTTGGATGTTTAGTGTCCCACTCTCCTTTAATCTGACTGATGACCAAAGCTGAGTCCCCAAACACATCTAAGGATTTGATTCCCAAGTCTATGGCAGCCTTGAGTCCAAAGATGCAAGCTCCATACTCTGCCATGTTGTTCGTACAGTTGAAGCAAAGTTTGGCGGTGAAAGGAGTATGGCAACCTTCTGGGGATATGAGTATCGCGCCGATACCATTGCCAAGTGCATTGGAGGCCCCATCAAAGTACAGGGTCCATCAGGATCCTTGTTCAGGTCCGTCATATGGTTTGAAATCTTCAATGTTGTCCAATGTCATGATGTCTTTGTCAGGGAAGTCGAACTTCATGGATTGGTAATCTTCAACAGCTTGATGGGCTAGATGATCAGCTAGCACACTCCCCTTTATAGCTTTTTAGGTCGTGTACTGTATGTCGTATTCCATTAGGATCATCTTCCATCTAGCTATTCTTCCAGATAGAGCAGGCTTCACAAAGATGTACTTGATCGGATCCATCTTAGATATCAGCAAAGTGGTATGAGTCAACATGTATTGCCTTAGCCGGCGAGCAGCCCATACCAAAGCGCGGCAAGTTTTCTCGAGCAGTGAATATCTAGTTTCACAGTCGGTAAACTTTTTGCTAAGGTAATAAATGGCATGCTCTTTTCGGCCAGACTCGTCATGCTGCCTCAGTACGCACCCCATTGAATTCTCTAGGATAGTCAGGTACATGATTAGCGGTCTTCCCTCGACGGGTGGCATCAAGATAGGAGGTTCTAGTAAATACTCCTTGATTTTATCGAAAGCAACTTGATAGTCATCACTCCATCTAACTATATGATCTTTCTTCAACAGCTTGAAGATTGGTTCACAAGTAGATGTTAGGTGAGAAATGAACCTAGCAATGTAGTTTAGGCATCCCAAGAAACCTCTGACCTCCTTCTCAGTGCGAGGAGAAGGCATTTCTTATATAGCTTTGACTTTGGCAGGATCAACCTCGATGCCTTTATTGCTGACAATGAAACCTAAGAGTTTACCGGACTGGACTCCGAATGTGCACTTGTTTGGATTCAGTCTGAGCTTGTACTCCTTCAACCTGACAAACAGCTTTTGCAAGTGATCAAGGTGTTCTTCTTCAGTTTGAGATCGGGCTATCATGTCATCTACGTAGACCTCTATCTCATGATGTATCATATCATGAAACAAAGCTACCATGGCGCGTTGATAGGTTGTCCCAGCATTCTTCAGTCCGAATGGCATCACTTTGTAGCAGAACGTACCCCACTGTGTGACAAATGTAGTTTTCTCTATGTCCTCAGGTGCCATTTTGATCTGGTTATAGCCTGAGAATCCGTCCATGAAAGAAAATACTTTGTGTTGAGCTGTGTTGTCAACCAGGATGTCAATGTGCGAAAGTGGAAAATCATCTTTAGGGTTGGCTCTGTTTAAATCTCTATAATCCACGCACATTCGCACTTTTCCGTCCTTCTTAGGCACGGGCACAATGTTAGCAATCCATTATGGATAGGAAGTAACATCCAGAAATCCAGCATTGAACTGCTTCATAACTTCTACTTTGATCTTCTCTGACATGTCAGGTCTCATACGGCAGACCTTTTGTTTAACTGGTGGACAGTTTTCTCTTGTGGGTAGACGGTGTACCACAATATCTGTATCGAGTCCCGGCATGTCTTCGTATGACCAGGACGTCTGTGGAGGTTTTGGTTTAAACGACTCGGAGAGCCCAATGAATTCTGAATAGTGCCCCATGTGGACGTCTTTGGTTAAATAACTTAAAGAGCTCACTGGTTTCAGTTAGACATGACAACAAAACTCGTATCCACGGGTACCCACCCGAACACGCCTCGAAGTTGACGGAGAAACCCGCTTTGATTGAGTTTAGGTTTTATTAAATAGATGTTGGCGGGGCGAGGATACCCGAACCCGTTTAAGACGGATTTGAGTTTTAATTCTCCATCCCCGTTTGGGTTTGGGGCAGGAAACGAAGATTGATTAAGGATCCAAGTTTGGATTTGGGAGTGGTGAAAACCGTCTCTGACCTGCCGCGTTGTCATGCCTAATTTCAGTTAATGCCTCTTTTGGAGGTTTTGGGTTAAACGACTTGGAAAGCCCAATAGATTCGGATAAATACCCCTTGTAGAAGTCTTTAGTTAAACTACTCGAAGAGCACACTAGATTCCGATCAATACCTCTCGTGGAAGTCTTGAAATAATTTGCAAGGAGAGACTAGGGAATTTCTACTTTGTGTTGTCCATGAGAACTTGACGTTTAAGCCCATAAAGTTCGAAGGATCCACTTTAGTGCTTCATTTTTCATGTTCATCCATCTTAGAGTCGGGAGGTGAAGATCTCGTGCAACACTTTGTCAGCTTCCTGTTTAATCATAGCTTCAATTACACAATCAAAACCACATGGATTAAAAAAAGTATTGTTAGAACCTCAAACTAATGGCAAATGTAAAGTCTTCCCTACAAAATCACAATCACATAGATTAATGCAATGCCATTCTCATTCTCCTCTCCCATTTCCAAAACAAATAGGGATAGAATAATATTACTTGTATACTATAGTCATTCATTCATTCATAACCGTAGTCACATAGTTTAATGGAATGTCATTCTCATTCTCCTCTCCTATTTCCCATACAAAGACAAACATGCTGAAATTAATAAATTTAGATGGCATATGAATTCCAATGCCATTACTAAAAAAAACAAACACACACCAACTCACTTCTTCCTCTTCAAAACCTATTATACCACTCATTCACACTCACTGTCAGCCGAGTGTTAACGGATAACCATACCAAAATGATATTGGCAACTACCGTTGTTGTGAACTCAGTTGTTTTCATTGCTAAGGATGCATCGAACAGGCTCAATTATGATGCAATGAGAACAATAAATACCGAAAACTATAGTGTTTCAAACTGCAACTTCAATCATCCCACGAGTGATGGCAAAACTAACCATTTCGTGTAAGAATTCATGAACTGATAAATTTAGCAACTAGCAATTGCATATGAGACTACCTTCTCTTTTCTTTTTTTAAAAACAAGGGCGAGACAGTTCAAAAGTAAAACAAAATCTATAATGGCTGATATATCATGAATCATGGATTGTTCGTACAAATGAAGCAATACTCCCCACCTGCATGTTTAGATAACTTTTGCTTTACTTTCATCATCTCATCTACAGGCCAAGTTAAAAATCAAACATGCACTCTTTTTGTGAAACAGAATTTCGATCAAACCATGCAGGGTTCTTTTTGTGAAACAGAATTTCGATCAAACCGTGCAGGGTTCTTTTTGTGAAACAGAATTTCGATCAAACCATGCAGGGTTCTTTTTGTGAAACAGAATTTCGATCAAACCATGCAGGGTTCTTTTTGTGAAACAGAATTTCGATCAAACCATGCAGGGTTCTTTTTGTGAAACAGAATTTCGATCAAACCATGCAGGGTAAAGAAACTACTTTTGATACAACAACGACAAAGGCAGTTTTGATGTTTCTTGCAATCTGCGTACATAAACAACAGTGAATCATACAAAGCAATAAACAAATAGTTAACCATTCAAACATATGATTCAGCAGAACTTCATTCTTCTTGTTTGCATCATCTACTTAAGCACTTCACTGCAAAGACTATACATACATAATCATTTGGGATCAACCTGCTTGTTACATTATGAATATCATACATAATCATTTGGGATCAACCTGCTTGTTACATTATGAATATCAAGAAAATAGTGAAGGAGAATATTTCAAACTTCATTCTTCTTGTTTGTGTCATCATCTTCTCAAGCTTACTCGTTGTCACCATCACCGGGGAGTGAAAGCAGAGAATCCACATACGTAGTCACGTCGCATATATGCCTGTAATTATAATAAGAATGTTGCTCTAGAAATTCTCCGTATTTATCGTACTTCACCAATCCATTGTCTTCATCTAACCCAATAATATCACCACTTTTTGTACAGCACAATGGTAAAAAGTCTTGGTTTGGGGAACTGATGGAATCAACAATAAGAACAATAGTCTTAGTCCAAGAGGAGTTCACTTTGTATTCTTTCATCACCCATATTTCAAGGATATCATCAATCTCATTCATAGCATATACACTGAGAAATTCGCCATATACCCACAAACCATGAAATATACCAGGCGGCAAAGGCATACATGAAAGTTTCCTTTCCTTTAAATCAAATGCAACAATACCATGACTTTGTAAATCACAATGATAAGCCAACCAATGAATAGCTCCCTTATAGAGAGACCCAGGCTTATACTGACCCTCAAGGATATAAGGGAAGTGAGGACCCTCAACTTGTTTCCATGTATTAGCTTTCAATGAGTAATACTCCAAGTGTAATGGAGGAGCATTATAATGATACACTGAAACAACCAAGTAATCTTCGGTTGAATCGTCGTACCCAAAACCATAGAAATATTCAGCATCTAAATCAGAACCAAAAGGAGATAAAGGTATTCTTTTGTGAACTCCAGTGGATGGATTCCATACGTAGATGTTTAAGGAGCCGCAGAAAAGTATGAACCCTCTGCATGACCCTTTAACTGGAAAATTAACGGTAAAATACTCTGGAAAGATCCAATCAAGGTTGAGTGAAATGCCACTGTCAAGCGATCCTTCGACATCGATGGATTGCGTTGAATTTGATATATGTAGAATTCTACAATTGGGTTCTGTGGCTGTGAGTTGAAAATGTGAATTTGCAAAGTGTGAATCATGAGAGATAAGAGAAAACCATAACTTACAAACACACTTGAAGCGTATAAGAGACTTTACCGGCAACCTCAGTAAGATTTGAATGACCAACTCGTGCGGCAGAATCATCATCAATCTTCTTCTACCATTGTGGTTTCTGAGTTGCGGCGCATCTAGGTTATAGATGAAATGTGAAAGAGGAATTGGGCTCCAACCCAACAGCCCATTCATATTTTACTAATACAGCCCAAAAAAACATTTCATCACAAAACTAACATTCTCTTGGTGTATACAAACTTTTTTTTTTCTTTTATAATTCTCACTCAATTTCAAGAATTTCTCACGAATTTTATAAAATTCTTGGAAAATTATCTTATGTATACATTATCATCAATTGTTAACTTAATAAAAGTTACAGAAGTGTGTCTGGAAGGAAGATAAATTCTAAATACTGTTCAAAACTTATCTTTTGAACACACTCATTATCAAACAATGTCTCGACTGCATTTCAATCTTACTAGTGATGGATGTACCTTTTACCTTACATTGCTTATAAGTGTGGTAAGTCTCATAAGCATCTTTTAAAATAGTAGGTCAAAAAAAATTGAATCTAAGACTTTTCTTACTATCCTTTAACAACTGAAATGTCCCCCTTATTTGAGAGATGTGAGAAAACTACAAAATAGATTCAGTCTCATAGTCGGGGACGCATCTTCTAATGAACTTATCACTATCGAATTTCCATAAATATGGATCATCCCACACATAATATTTTGTCATTTTTGAGTTTGTGAATCTGTGTCCTAAATGTTGGAACAAAGGGTTTTCAAGAAAGATGATTTATGGAAGAGGAAGAACAAAAAGAGAGTGAGAGATATTGAAAGTATGTTGTGATTCTAACTGAATTGTAAAAATCTATTATTGATTACGCACACTGATTACAAACTCAACACCCCTTTATATAGGTAAATAATGATCAGGCCCAATTAGAGAAAACACACTAAAGCCTAAAACATGATTTTGACATACTACAATATCTGTTGTATTCAACTCTGTCGAATACAACTTATAACCTATACAATAAGCTATTCGACATATACCACACATGCATTTCGATAGAATAAGAATTATACTCCTAACACACACACCCAATTCATGTTCTCTTTAACTCGTCGAATATGACTTTCTTCAGAGTTTCGGTAAATATGTCAGCTAGTTGCACTTCTGTCTTGCAATGCTTTATCTCAAGCTTCCCTTTGTTGACTTGATCCCTCAGAAAATAATACCTTCTTTCTATGCGCTTACTTCTACCATGACACACTAGGTGATTAGTCAGGTTAATAGCTGACTTGTTGTCAATAAACAACTTCATCTTCTTAGGTCCCAATATTCTGAGTTCTTCAAGTAACATTTTGATCCATACCGTTTGGCATGCAGCATATGGTGTAGCCACATATTCTGCTTCGCATGATGACAAAGCCATAATTCTTTGCTTCCTCAAACTCCAAGAGATTGAAGCACCTTCGATCATGAAAATGTAGTCTGCAATACTTTTCTTTTAGTATTGATCTCCACTGAAATCTGAGTCAACGTATCTATAAACTTTGACATATGTGTTGTTCTTAGACTTCTTTGGTAACAACATACCATGATCAAATCTTCCCTTTATGTATCTCAACACCTTTTTACTGCGATGAGATGACATTCTTGTGGTTTCTCCATAAATCTACTCAACAATCCTACACTTTGATAAATATCTGGTCTAGTATTGCAAAGATATCTCAAGGATCCAATGATTTGTTTGTAAAGGGTCGAACTTACAAACTCGTCATTTATTTCCTTTTTCAACTTTGCTCCAGTTTCTAACTGAGTGACAGCTTCATTACATTTGCCCATTTTAAACTTCTTCAAAATATCTTGAGCATACTTCGTTTGATGCAAGAATACTCCTTCTTAAGTATATTTAAATTCCATCCCTAGGAAATATGAGAGATTCCCTGATTCAAACATTTCAAATTCCTACATTAATTTCGACTTTACCTTCATTATCTCAGCTCTGTCTGCTTCTGTTATGTGTAAATCATCAACGTAGAGGCATAAGATAATCCGACTGACACTGTTGATATCATTTACATAAACTCCATGTTCAGAGACATACTTTATGAAACATGCTTCGATCAGGAAGCTATCTATTTTCTGATTCCAAACTTTCTTGTTGAATCTTGATTGCAATGTCTGTCTAGTCACCTTATCTCTTTATGAGTTTCTCTGCTTCAACCTCATTCATGAGCCTCCAATGAAGCTTGAAGTTCTTCCAACTTCATCATAAATAAAGTCTTGGCCTCTTCAACTGTCACAACAATGTAGTCAAAATATGCAGTTAAAGATCTCAACACCTTTTCTATCTTTTGTAGATCCGTAACCGATTAACCATATGCCTTCATCTAGTTTGTTAGCGTCACAATTCTTGAGAAATATGTAGAAATTGATTCATATTCTTTCATCTGAAGCATCTCGCATTACTTCCTTAGCATCTGCAACTTCACCTTCTTCAATTTCTCATCTCCACCATACAAGTTCTTTAGATTTTCCCAAGCTCTTTTTGTTGTTTCTTATTCAATTCTCTTCTCAAATACATCAGAATCCACACACTGGTGAATCAAAAATAATGTTTTACCATCTTTCTTTCTTTGATGTTTGTGTGCAGTTTTCTAAGCTTCTATCGCATTTGCTTCCAGTTCTGATACTCCATCATTCAAGATTTCAACAACATGGTTAAGGGATTAAAATAAATACTGGTTAAGGGATTCATGCCCATCGGCATGAAAACCGTGCCCCTCGGCACAGAAAATGGTGCTGGTCGGCACCCTTCATGAACACACATGTGTCTCTCGACACATGACCATAATTCCAGTTGCAGTTATGCAACTACGTCCAAACTTTCCTGCGATCAGTAATTCTAATCTCATACCAACATAACAACTATACTCACATCAATGAACACTCAATTCATCAATTGAATCACTATAATGTTAACCAAATTATCATAGATGCCAAACAACAATTTATCCATACAACAATTACACACAACAACAATTTCATACAACCCAATTCCCACGTAACATGCATCATATACCCAATTATAGAGTCAGAATCCCACCCTTACCTTGTGTAATACGGTGGGAGAACTGACTTGGTTGTTTTGTGTTTGATCACAATTATCGCGGATAGCAAGAGTCGCCACCGACTTTTCTTTTATCCAATAAAGAAAGAGTGAAAAGAACGGGAAAGACCTTTGAGATGATTTATTGAGTTCGAGGGGTATATTATGAAAAGATAAGGTGTTAAGCACTCTTTTTATCCATAGTTATCTATGGGCTCTTAGTTGCTTGCTAGATCACTTAAAAATGCTTTGTTTGAAAATGTGCTTGTGGTGGGTTTTGAAAGTTTTTTTTGAAAAGCGTCTTCGTTGAGGCAAACTTTGTAATGATTCTCCTCTATATAATAATGCATACAAAGTGTTGGAATTTTTGAAAATATTTCATATTTTGAAAGTGTTTGGTGTGTTTGAAAAGATGTTTGTTTTAAAGATGTTTTAAAAGTGTAAGTGTGGAAATAGTTTTAGTTTAAGAGCAAGCAACTACGAGTGTCCTACCTACTCAAAAGGTCTATGTTCTTTTCCTCCTCCTTTAGATGTTGCTATCTTACCATTGATTTGGTAAGAAGCCCCATCGTTGGATGTGAAGGGACGGGCGTGGGTCAATTGTATAGTCATAGAAGGAAACTTATGAGACATTTTAGTCATTTTTATTAGGGACTGGATCGTTTACCGAAGGCAACATCGAGGAACATTGAGGGACTACAATCTTTTTATCGAGGATCTTTGCTAAAACGCCCATATTCGAGGGACATGACTATTTTCCGAAGCAACAAGTGAGGTTACCCTAGAGGTGCACGTGTGTGAATAGTGTTTATATTTCATGCTTGATTTTGTCTTTGTAATTAGGGTTTTCTAGCAGTTGATTTTATCTTGCCATACATATCCTAATTACTAACAATTTATATTAAAGCGATAAATTGCGGAAAATAAATTTACTACGCTATTACATCATTTGGGGATGGGGATATAAATTTACAAATGGGAATTGCAAGAAATTAAATCTTAATTATCTATTACGACCATATTGAAACTTGAATAATGTACAAGGAATATAATGTACAAGACAAAATGGAAAAAGGAAAATATTTGTTTTGTTTTTGTTGAGAAGAGATTTTTATCCTAATTAACTAAAAGGAAATTTAATTAAACTAAAGAAAAATTAAGATTAAGTTAAAGAAAAGAAAACAAATAGGAAAATGTTTTTGGTATTTTTCATTGTAAGAAAGATAAATAAAATAAACTAAATAATTTAAATATTTTTGGTGTTTTTGTGTTTAAAATAATTTTTGTGTTTAAAACAATTTTTGTGTAGAAAATAGTTATTGTGTTTGGGCCCAGTGCCTGTTTGTTAGTTAGTAAATAGGGGGTATAAAATTGTCGAAGCCCAATTGTGGAGGCCCATATGTGCTTCCTACAAACAAGACAAAGTGATAAAACATGAAAAATTAACAAAAGATCTCGCTGGAGCTTGAACCCGAGACCTTCTACATGGCAAGACTTTTAGAGTGTGTTGTTTGTACTACTGGGGTGGTCTGTTTCATCCGTTAGTTATACAGTTTGCACTAAATATAAAATGAACTCATGGATGAATGTTTAAACACAGCTTCATCTTCTTCCTTCTAGTGTAGGAATGCATGACTCCAATGCTTGAGCTTCGAAAGGCTTCATTTTTCAGCCCAAATCGAAAGATGTAAGTATCAGACCTGCCTAAAGTTTGAAAATGAATCTAACCACATAATTTCAACAGTCATGGGTCGAAGGTTAGCATGAAATACCAAAACTAAGACCTAACCGTTCAAAGATAAACTTTTTTTAATGTGCAAGCAATGACAATCGAAATTATGGACATGGTTAGCTTCCTAGACATGATATCTACATTTTCCTTCACAAAGTATACACAAATGATGTTTGAATGAAGAGTTCTATGTTTTAGAAAACTTACCTCGAAGATGGGTTTATAGATTCCATCCAA